CACATACAGACCGGTTCCCGCTCACTGGCTGAGTGAGGCGCGGGAGCAACGCCGAGGGTTGCGATCCCGTTGCCGGTCCCCGGTCCGGTACGGGGGCAACACTGAGGGTTGCGATCCGTTGCCGGACACGGAAAAAGACAAAAAAAAAAAAAGATAAAATTAAAGTAATTCTAATTCCAGGCAAAACTGTGAAGGACAGGTTTGTCCTTTCCCCCCTACTCCCCACCTCTCCTCTCCTTGAACGAGCAGCCTTCACTCTTGGTTCAGACCTGCCATCCTCAGCAGGTGTCAATGCTACAGGGTTCTTCACTCCCTCACTGATTCAAACCCACCTATCTTGATATCCAAGGGGAATGGTCAATTCATCAAATCAAACTATGATATTAGGCATAACTATTGTTATCACTCCTAACAAAACATGTTTTTATTTCAGTAAGAGTTTTGGTTCTTTTTCTAGAGACAATGCCCTAATCTAAAATGGTTTTAAAAAAATAAAAAATAAAATGATTTCAAGAGTATGAGATCCAGATATCTCTCTGAAAAGCCAACCCAGGGTATTCTGCCCCTCAAATCATACCCAAAACATAAAAACCCGCTTCAACTTTTTAACATCATTTTCCCATACAAGAACAGGGATTCAAGAGTTGCCTCGTCAAAAAGAATGGCAAATGTCCACGACCCTGTTTTTACAAGTTAACCCTCCATTTACACACCCCTAGTAAGTGGGGGTAACATTAGGGAAGTCTGAGGCCAGCATAACTGACATCCATTGCTTCTGACTGCTTGCTTTCCTTTTCCTGAAAACAGTACTTTCACCACCACAAAGTGCCACTAGCTACCAGCCAGTTTCCTTGAGCTCTGGATGAGCATGGGTCCATATGGCACAGTTACAGTAACCCCTGGACACAGTGACTGGGCCAAGGAGGGAACATGTGACCCAAGCAGACAAATCAGAACTTTCCAAATTGGAGCTGAAAGGATAACCATCTCTTTCTTCAGATTGTAAATTGTCAGAATGTAATTGCTGGGCCTCCAGAGACCTAGCTCCCTGCCTCATAGAGAAGTCTGAAGAGAGTAAGGTCCACACACCAACACAGATGCTGATATGAGAAATGGTGGGAAAAAGAGTAAGTCCTGGAGGTGTTGGAGCCATTGGATCCAGTCAACTCTACCTTCCCCTTGGTTACAAGAACAAATAAATGCTGTTTTCTGGATTAAACAAGTTTGATTTGGATTTCTAAGACTTGAAACCAAAGAGACCAAGTACCGGCCATTTTCAAAATAAGATTCTTAACATATTGCAAGTACCTTAGAAGGAGCTGTATGAAGTTTATAGCTTTCTTTAAAAAAAAAAAAAACAACTCCCCAGTACCCTCACAGCTAGAATGGGAGCAATTACTGCCATGTGAATGAGGTCTCTTGGCCCCATACTAAGTTTCACATCTGCCTGTGTTGTAGTAACTTTTAGAGGATTTAATGGATTTTGATTAAACTGCTATAGTAAAAAGACAACCAAGATATTCTAAATAAGTCTATTTTCTGTTCTTTTCTAGTAATTTTAATCAATCTGTTAAGTCAAAAGAAGTAAGAAATGTGTGCTTGGCATGAATAACACATATAATTCACAGACACACTCCTAAGTCTCATACTTGAGATATGAATGAGATACTAAAAATTTACTAGAGGGATTAAATAATTTGATCAAAGTTAATTATTAGAATAACAAACCCATCCAGCTCACCACTATCAAAATTCTGCAAAGGACCAAAATAGTGGCCTGATTTGTTCCCTAATACACTACACAAGTGAATAGACAACTTTAGATGGTGTCTCTGTTCATCTGCCATTAATCAATTACCTTGCCTCAAAGAAAAAACATAATATAAATAATATTTTTATTTAACTAAAGAGAAATCCATCAGCATTTCTCTGAATTATTTGCCTAATTACTTCTACTGTTGAGTCCTCTGGTTATGATAAGATCGTACCTAAGAAAGCAACAATACCCTTAAACTGCAGGTTTACAAATAAGACAGATCCTATTCATGAGACTACTGAGAGCCGTTTTTAAATTAAGGCTATAAAATTCATATAGCTCCTTCTAAATTAGTTACTTGTAATATATTAAGAATCTTATTTTGAAAATGGCTATTAGTTTCAAGTCACATGGCCTTCTAAAATAAAAATGACACATATCAATAGCAGCACAACAGAATAATATATCTCATCATAATATATGGTATCGCCCTCTCTATGATGCAATTTCTTCTGAGCAAAAGAATGTCCTTTATGTCCACAATTTAAAAATAGGAAATAATGACAACTTGCAAAGCTTTTAGGAAATGCAACTTATTTAATTAACAATAAACCCATTAGAAATTATTTCCAAGCTATATAACAGCAGAAAAGGTATCATTATGCAAAATTTAATATATAGTATGAATATGACTAATGAACAGGAATTGTTTTAGTCGCTTAAAGTGGAACAAAAATTTCAGTATGATGATACGAGTGAAATAAAACCTTAAAAAACAATAGTTTAAAACCGATGAATTTGAAAGCTGGCCAGTTATCTCAGTTGGTTAGAGCACGATATTACACCATGATCAAGGGTTCAGATCCCCACACTGGCCAGCTGCCAAAAAAAAAAAACCTTGATGAGTTGTTACTTTTCCCCCAAATAGTGGCAGTGCTCTACAAGGAGAAAAACTGGCCAAGTAATAGGAAAAAAATCAAATAAAATGTCAACATACCAACTAACGCATCATTAGTCAAAGAGTCGAAAGCTTAATGCTACTACTTTTTCCTTAAACCAGCAACTATAAAAGGACACCTTAAGTAAAAGGATAAATTGAAGAACACATATTGTGTTTACCTAGTCTTATATACCGGGCTCGTTCATGGAGTTGATTTACTAGTGCTTTCATCTGTTCATAGTTCTCCTAAAACAGAAACAAAGGAGAGGGAGAGGAATATTAGAAAGCAATTATCTTTTTACCAAAGTAAGGGAGAAGAAAAACATCAGTCCATGCCGTGGCCTCCACACTGGGCCACCCCCCACCATGCGGTCTCCACACGGGGCCACGCCATCCTTGAGAAGACAAATACCTGCCTACACTCAAGCGCTTCTTTCCCAACACCACCCCTCTCTGGTCCATCTCTCCAAATCCTACCCCTCTTTTAAAGCCTAATTCATGTTTTATCTCATCCCCAAAGCCATTTCTGGCAACTCCTGCCCACATTAACATCTTTCTTCCTTAGACATCTACTGAACTTAATTGATTCTATTTGTTTTCATAGTTTAAGGAATATAAGCTTTTTGAGGTTTAGAATGCCACCTTATTTTTCCTGTCCCATCGGTCACTATCCTGATATTTGAACCAATGCAGAAATACTTGCTTACTGACAAATTACACTCACAAATAAAGCCCAGAATAAAAAAAACTTTTAAAAAGATCCTATTTTGGGCCGGCCCGGTGGCACACTGGTGCACCGCCTGGGAGCACGGAGGCGCTCCCGCCGAGGGTTCGGATCCCATGTGGAGACGGGTTTCCGCTCACTGGTTGAGCGCAGTGCGGGCGTAACACCGAGGGTTGCGATCCCGTTACCGGTCAGTAAAAAAAAAAGACAAAAAGGAAAAAAAAAAAAAGATCCTATTTTATGTTTAAGGTTATTAATATTAATATTAATGTTAATATGAAAATATTAACAGTGAGAAGCAGATTAATTCTTCACCCTTCTGTATTTTTAAATACAGCATATTACTTGGTCAGCATATTACTTTAGAACAATACTTAAATAGCTAATCGTTTTTGAAAATTCAGAGTTTGTCCCACGAACACATTTTGTTCCCCATAATGTGATTAGCATCTCTGGTTATTCAGTTCCTTTTATGTGACAGAATGCTAAACAACTTCTCAGCTGTTCAAAATTAGATGAATTTATAGTCTCTTTACAGTGGGACTTTATTTTTTCCTATTTTCTACAGCTCCGAGAGTTCCTGAGGTCATGGTTTCTGCTATTCTCTTGCTCTGCAAAACCCAGAAAAATAAAAATGAGGGAAGCAGCAAGGTTTTAGGGAAAGAACCTCTGTCCCAGAGTAGAAAGGTCCCGACCCCTGGACCATCTCTGTCTGACAGCCCAGTGAGCTACTTCCCTTCTAATCCCACAAAGCCCTGCATCCTAGGGAAAAGTACCTGCTGGGGACTTAGCTCAAGAATCGGCCTCAAACAGTGGTTCTTGACCTTGGCTCTACACTGGACTTAGTGGGGCTTTTAAAAAACAAACAAAAAACAATAACAACAAAAACACTGATGCCTGATTCTACCCTAAGATTCTGATGTCACTGACTGTAGGTGTGGCCTGGGCATTAGGAGCTTTAAAAGTTCCTCAGATGATTCAAACACAACCAAAATAGACAAACACTGGCCTACAATGTCCATTTCTGTGTTTCCACTCAGGGCCAATTGGGAACACTCCAAATAGAAGGGGTTTGGTAAGAGGTAAAAATCCCCCTTCTTACCACAGAAACTTTTTCAGATTACCATATCTGTTGATATTAATGACATGAAGCAGAGGAAGCCAAGAACTTTGCTCTGTTATATTAAACCCACGTGAAAGATCTCTTTTTCATTCACATATAGCAAATGCAGAAATTCTTCAATTTATGAATTATCTCAAATGGAAACAAAGCTGTACACCAGAATATGTCTGTTCAGCCTGTCACCAAGAGATGACATTAGAGCAGCTTGTATAATATCACTTGAAATGTATAAAGGGACTTAGCGCAGTCTTTCAGAACCTCTGAATTAAGGGTCTCTCCTGAGGGGAAACCACTCCTTGTAAGTGAAGCCTGTGTCCTGAACATCTTTTTCATCTGAGAGAGCCCAAGCTTTCAGAGGGACAGGCGTTGTAAGGGAAAGTCCTCATGTATAAACCAGTGTGGCAGAGAAGGGCTCTGGGAAATGGAGTCGGCAGCCATCTCCACAGCTGTCACCGAATGGCATCTTCTCTTTGGGGCTCTCTCACCCTGACCCTTGGCTGAGAGACAGGTGCACTACTCTGATATTGGCCCTGTACTCCCACGTGCACTGCTTATTAACCACCTTTCAACACGTGGGTGAGAAAAAGGGCTGATAAAACAATGTTGCTAAATGGAGAAAAAAGCAGATTTATTCCACTGCATAAGTAAACTCATATTTTTTGTTTTTGTTTTGTGCTTACAGTCTATTCTTGTCCATTTTACACTTACTCCCAAGGTTAAAAACCCACCTAATTGTCTAAGTGTTCCGGAAAACTTAACCTTAAGAATCCATAGGGAACAGGAAGGGCCAGCAACAGTGTAGGCAGAATTTCTGGAAATAAACCTCATCCAAACTGTCAACCCTTGTGCCTCTTCACTTTCAAGTAGTCAGGACTGAAAGACACCTTGACAAATACACTGTTAGAAAAGATAGGCCAACAGGACTTGTCAAGTTTATTGTTCAACATGTCTCCTCATGTTCAGTAAAAAGAATTTAGTGGTACTGAAGAAAAAAAATCTGAGTACCTATTATCAGCAAGGTGTATGAAAGGTTAACACATTTACTTAGGAACAATTCTTTTTTTTTTTTTTTTTTTTGTCTTTTTTCCGTGTCTGGCAATGGATCGCAACCCTCAGTGTCGCCCCCGTACCGGACCGGGACCGGCAACGGGATCGCAACCCTCGGTGTTGCCCCCGTGCCTCGCTCAGCCAGTGAGCGGGAACCGGTCTGTATGTGGGATCCGAACCCTCGGCGGGAGCGCCTCCGCGCTTCCCAAGCGGCGCACTAGCGCAGTGCGCCACCAGGCCGGCCCAACTTAGAAACAATTCTATGTTCTCTGTTTAAAATTGATAAGGAAAGGTTTTTTTCAGAAACATTATGTAGTGCTATTTGTCCAGCAAGTCCATCATCGTTATGACATACTATCTCCTGTTCAGTCCTGCATAGCTCAACACCACTAGAAAAGAAACACAACAGGGTTGCATTATGGCAAATTAAAGAGTCAAGGGGGCGTTGGTGGTATAGTGGTGAGCATAGCTGCCTTCCAAAGAGTCAAGGGGTTCTCTAACATTTTCAACTCCTCTATGGTTTGTCGTCATTATTGTTGGTAACTTTTTTTCATGGCAATTTTCAGACATATACAAAAGTAAAAAGACTAGTATAATGAACCAAACGTACCCAATGTACTTCAACAGTTATCCATACATGGCCAAAGTTGTTTCCTTCATGCCCTTCTTCCTGAATTATTTTGAAGGAAATCCTAGACATAACACTTTAAGAATTTCTCTACCTCCAAGAGATAAGGACAATTATCACATATGAATAATCTCTTAATAACATCAAATATCCAATTAGTGAAGACATTTCCCCAACTGTCAGATAGATTTAATTTTACAAGGTTTTTTATTTTATTTTTTTTTGGTGGCTGGCCAGTATGGGGATCTGAATCCTTACCGTTGGTGTTAAAGGCTGTGCTCTATAACAACAAGGTCAAGAGTTCAGATCCCAACACCGGCCAGCCCACCAAAAAATAAAAAACCAGCAAACAAGGCTGTGCTCTAACCGAGTCATACAGTTTATTTAAATAGGACCCTATGTAGTAAGGTCTATACACTCACAACTGGCAGATATGTTTCTTATGTCTTTTCTGAAACATAAGTTCTACCTTCTTTTCTCTTCTGAAATGTTCTGTTTGTCATATAGATGTTTCCCACAGTGCTGAATGCATCCCTTTTAACGAGTTCTTCCCTTATAGATTTACAGGCTGATGAGATTCCGGTGTACCTTTAGTTTTTTATTTCCTACCCTCTCACCTCCATCTCATCAAGATTAGGTGACCTCCCCTCCACCTGCAATGTATCTTCCAGTCTCCTACCTACTCTGCAAACCTCTGGCACCAAAGTTCAGAGGTAGGGCCGGCCTGTGGCTCACTTGGGAGAGTGTGGTGCTGATAACACCAAGGCCGCAGATTCAGATCCCTACATAGGGATGGCCAGTTAGCTCACTTGGGAGAGCGTGATGCTGACAACACCAAGTCAAGGGTTAAGATCCCCTTACCGGTCATCTTTAAAAAAAAAAAAAACAAAGTTCAGAGCTGATGAAAAACAGTTCACACACATACAGAAAAAGACAAGCATTCAAACCCCAAGGGACAATCACTGCAGCCAACAACACTGCCCAATTCAGAAGAGCACCACTCAAAACTAGTTATGCGAGGGATCCTTACCCTAGCTAATCCAGCCTCCCAGTTAAGAAATAAGGGAAACTGTCACTAACTGCCAAGGTTTTCTGGAACACATGGTGGTGGGAGAAGTGAGAGCATGAGTACACACTACTGTTCTAAAATTAGAGACTAGCAAAATTGGGCAAAGGGCAACTGGGCTTGGCCAGGGCACTAGGAAATAGAACTGCTATGTATCATCTCTCATCCATGGCATGGCTCTATCATTTTATGGGTATGTTTGCATCAAAGTTTACTGCTTGTAGCTGGAGGTCCCTGGAGGTCCCTGGAGATGAGGGTACACCTAAGTGAGATCTTCTCACAGCCAACATTACTTAATGAGAGCACACCCACTCTCTCCATGCTACTAATTATCTGTGGCACAGACTATTAGCTGCTTATACGTATCCTTTCTTCCCATCTTCCTTGATGATGGAATCCTATTTTATTCAAGCTGGCAACATGCCCAACTGGAGAAGGTAACATATCCTAGATATGGCCACATGACTAGGCAGAGTTGTTGGGTATGCCATCTAAATAGGCTCCTAAAAAAGAAGACAAGCAAGTGAGGGTGCCCCTTGGCCTATTCATGGAACTCAGACATAATAAAGTCTAAGCAGCCATCTTAGGCCATGAGGTAGACGGCATTACTTGTTCAGAATCCTTCCTTCCTTCCACGTTTGCCACAGTTCACGGTGGAAGACTATACTTCCCCACCCCAGTCTTTGAGTCTGCTCATATTCTTGGTCTGACCTGTGGAATATGAGCAAAAGTCAGCGTATCAATTCCAAGCAGAGAGTTTAAGAGGGACCAAGTGTTTCCATACTCTCCTCTTGTGTCCCAGCCCTTCACTATGAGAAGAGCATCCCCCAGTAGCCACTGCTCCTTCAGTCGGGATCCTGGAACAAGAAACAAGTAGAGCAGACCTGTCATTGCCTGAAGCAGAACTGCCACAATCATCCCACAGATCCAGGAGCAAAAAATAAGTGTCTGTTCTTTTGGACACCGAGATTTTGGGATTGTTCACTACACGACATCTCCAGATGCTACTCCACATCCTGGCCGTGACTTCCAACTCCTCACACCCACTGTACACTTTCACAACTCACTGTCTGTGTCCTTCTAACTCTCTTGGTTTGTACAATCTCATCTTCCATCCTCCACCCTGAACCTGGCCAGCTCTTACTCAACCAAGATCCATCCCACCCACTCCTTCCTACCTGTAGCTTTCCGTGACCACCTTTTCAGATTTTAGATACCACTTACAACAATGCACTAGTTACCTGCTTCCATGCTACCCACAAAATTATAAGTTCCATTCATACACTCCTATACCAAACGCCTAAAATAGTGCATAGACCACAGTAACCACTGAATGTTTCTGAATTCAACATTCTCTCCTGACAAATAATTGTGTTACTTGCACAATTTGAATGTTATCTGCATAGGCTTAGAAACCACAGGACAAGACTGAAATTTATCAGCTCTGATATTTCACAAGCTGTAAGATGTTTCTTTGACTTTGTGGCATCTCTCAATTCCAAGAAAATCCACTCAAAGATACTGTGGCATAAGTAGTCTTTCTTAATATAACCAACTGTTTAACTTAAGTCTGGTAAGCACGGCCCAGGGTTAAATGTGCTAGGCCAGTGGTTCCCAAAGCCGGCTACTACCAGTCCCCTAAGAACTTCATGAACAATGCAAACACCCGGACCTCATCCCAGAGACCCAGAAGGTCCAGAGTGGAGCTCAGGCAACTGTATATTCAACAAGCTCCCCACGTGACAATGCTAAGTCAGGTTTTGAGAACCACTGATTTCAAAGACACAAAGTACCGTGCCAATTCCAAGAGTGAACTAAATGTATTTGATCTGAAACGATTTTCTTCTTCAAACTTCCTGACTCCCTAGTGAGTCCCAGAATCATGACTGGGGCTCCAGAGAAAAGAACAGCAGCCGTTCAAGCGCGCCCACCCGCCACCCGCTTCCTAGTCCCGGCCAGCGCCTAGTCCCCTCGGTCCGGCACTGGAGGACAGGTGGAGGAATCTCCAGGCCCGGGCCGCTCAGCCAGCCTACCTGGTAGACGGCAGAGGCCGAGTCCGGCTGGGTGCCCAGCGTGGCCACGGAGTCCCCGTGATAGGCGCGCAGCCGAGGGGCAGCGGCGCGGGCGCACGGCCGCAGGGCTGACCTCAGGGTGGTCCACATGGCGAGGGCCACAGAGCAAAGCACAAGAAAGCGTCCCGCGCCCTTCCCGCAGCCCCGGCACAAACCCGGAGAAGCCTCGGGCCGGCCCCCTCACGTGCGCAAGCGCGGGGCCTGCGATTGGCCGGCGCCACGCCCGCTCCAGCCAATAAGGGACAGAGGCGCAGCCCGCCAGCCCGCGCGCCATCGCGAGCCCGGGAGCGCGGCTCTCGCGCCGGATCCTCCCTGCGGAGCCAGGCTGGTCCTCCCCGGCGCTGAGCGGGAGGACCTGTGGTCGAGCTGTGTTGGTGTCGTATTGATACAACAATCCGTACAATCACTACCGTATCGGCAACGTGGCTGAATCTCATCTCTCCCTGAGTGCGTACACCACGACAAACCTCTAGTCCTTTCACTGGAGATCTTAAACACTCTTCTGTTTTCACTACTGTAGTGATAGAGATTGTGGACATCAGGCCTGTGATCTTAAATAAAAGACTCTAAACACACCTTTTACGTGTTAATCTCTTAACGTCCTGCCAACCCGCATTTACCTGCAGCTGCGTCGCAGAGGCTGTCGGAGCTTTCCATGTCCCCTCCGTCTCTGCCCCAGGACTGCCTAAATCACTTCGCCTGAACAGAGGAAGCTTCAAATCCTCTATACAAAGTGCCGCAAACTTAGTTTTTCATTCAAATATTTATTGAGCACTTACTACCCACTGCACACCCATTCGTTGCTTGGCGGGGCAGAGTAAAGCGGAAGGAACATAAGAGGGATGCGCAGGATAGAGAAAGGGTGCGTCTATAAGAAAATAATACAAATGACCTCATGACTTAGCGCGGATTGTGTAGGACAGACATTAAAGGAACAGAATGCAATTGGGAAAGGGAGGTAGCCGAGCAAAGACTTGCAGAAGCACTGAGTGTGGACAGAGGCTTGAGGCATAGCCAGGCTTAGCACAAGTGGAGAGGAGCCTACAGCACTGGGGGCAACCACAACAGCATGAGCTTAACTGCAAAGGTATGATTTACACAGTGTGCACCTCGCATGGTCAACAGAAAAAAGGCCAGTAAAAACTGCGACTCTTCAAATGTATCAAGGTAACAGGAGAGTGTGTTTGACGTGTAAATTGCCACACTTTATTTTTCTCTGAATAGTTCTTCAATGAAGCAAAATATTTAAAATCATCTGAAGACAGAAAAGACACAATAAGATGTAATTCCTTGCTTTCTTTAAAAGTTACACGTTTTTTTATTTCTTGTAACTTTTGTTACAAGAAGCTTATTGAAATTTGTAAAATGTTCCCTGAACAGGGAAGTAAAACAATACAAAAGGTCAAGTGACACCAGAGCCACCTGGCATCTGTTAGTGTCTGGTGCTCTCCAACCCACTGTTGAGATTATGCTCAGAGGGAAAGTTCTACCTTTGCTATCTGCTGATTTTTTTTTTTTTTTTTTTTGGCAGCTGGCCTGTAGGGAAACCTTGGTGTTTTCAGCATTAACTGGCCAGCTGATTTCTTTTCTTTTTCTTTTTTCCTTTTCTTTTTTTTTTTTTTTTTTTTTTGGCAGGGGGTGGAGGGGGGCAACTGGCTGGCACAGGAATCAAACCCTGGGCCTTTTTGTTTTCAGCACCCCCCCCCCCCTTTTTTCTTTTTCTTTTCTTTTTTTTTTTTTTTTTTTGGCAGCTGGCCTGTAGGGAAACCTTGGTGTTTTCAGCATTAACTGGCCAGCTGATTTCTTTTCTTTTTCTTTTTTCCTTTTCTTTTTTTTTTTTTTTTTTTTTTGGCAGGGGGTGGAGGGGGGCAACTGGCTGGCACAGGAATCAAACCCTGGGCCTTTTTTTTATCAGCCCCCCCCCCCCCCTTTTTTCTTTTTTTTTTCTTTTTTTTTTTTTTTTTTTTTTTTTTTTGTGCAGCTGGCTGGTATAGGATCTGAACCCAAAACCTTGGGGTTATAAGCCTTGATTTTTTTTTTTTTTTTAAGGAACGTTTTATATCATGAACTAGAGAATTGAAAATTTAGCCCCCCAGGCCGATCTCTGCAGTCTGGTACACTGCCTTTCCCCTCTCACCCTCAGCTCCACTCCCTAAGCATTGCTCATCTCCATTGATTGCCATCTTCCACATGCTTTCCTTCCTTAACCCGGAGCTGTTCCCTCTTGCCCAGCACACCTTCCCACCATCACACTTGCCCGTTCCATCTTCTCCACCTGATGAGTTCATACATGTCCTTCTAGACTCAGCTAAGGGGTCTCCTCTCCCACAAGCCTTCCCTGACCTCACCTCGTTACCTTTTTCCATCCTGACCAGACTTCTACTGTGGCTCAGGTTGCACTGTGTTGTTAGGACACATATAGTTTCTGCAACTTGGGATCCTGCTGAGGTCATCTTCTATGCCCTATTCCCATCCGAGTGCCTGGCATGATAGATGCTAAATTTGTTGAGTGAATACATGAAAAATAACCTCTCTGGAATCAGAGCAAGGAGAAGTTTCAAGACACCTAAGAGAGGGTTATTTAAAGGCCAGGCAGGAAACTGGAAGGTCAGGGTGGGCAGTCAGATCTAGGCAGGCTCCCCTCTGCCATCCGCTCTCCCCTGCTTCCCCTTTATGCCCTTGCCTAGGATATCACATAGCATCACTTTGGTTGTACTCTATTGGATTCAAGGGGAGGGGACATAGACCCCATCTTTCAATGTGAGGAGTGTCAGGCCACTTATAGAAGGGATGGGAGATATTGTGTATCTGTCTTTGGAGAAAACCACACCAGGCAAATGCATCCATATTTATACATGTAGCCTGATCCAATCTTATATTTTGTTTCCTTGGTCTAGCCTAAATGTGTTAACATTTCCATATTCCCTAACTCCTGCTGATATAAACTGGCAAGAGACTATCTCTTTCTGGGCCAGGTTCAGTTGGTTTATGTTGGAATACATTAACTCCTCTTAAGATCCAGAGGCAAGGGGGTATGGTAGGGGGGGTCCCCAGGAGAAATGGCATCAGCTCATAAGGTAAATGCCCCAGATTAAGTCACTGAGCGACCTTTACACAGCGGAAGGCTGGTTGGGAAGGGGGGTGGGTATGAGGGTGAGCTGTCTCCACCACTTGAGAAAGTTCAAGAGGATTTGGGAGTTTGAAGTTCTCAGCCTTGCTCACATCTGTCCAAATGCTTCCATCCTGTTTCTCAGGTTTCCTCTCCGTCCTGTAGTGCCCTTATCATATCATATTGTACCTTCACTTGGCACCTCAACTCTGTAACCCATACTGTCAGCAGCTGGCTTGGTCCTCAGCCAAACTGCTCTGCGGCCATAGAAGAGAAGGACTCAAAGCTGTGATAAAGGTTTTCTGACTTTTCACCCTTATCACAGAAATCTGCTCATGAGAAATGAAAGTAGATGTGCATAAACAAAAACTCTAAACAACCCAAATGTCCATCAACAGGTGAATGAATAAACAAAGTATGGTAAATCCATACAATAGAATACCACCTGTGATAAAAAGAATTTATGTAAAAGACAATCTCAAAAGGTTATCCAAGACCACCTCGAGGTCATGTAAAGTGTAAAGATTAAACCACATTTTTAAAGGAATAAATTATTGATATATGCAAAAAGGTAGAGAAATCTCAAAATAATCATATTAAAGGGAAGAAGCAAGACCAAAACAAGAAGAAAAGGTGCATATGATTTCATTTATATAAAATTCTAGAAAATCCAGGCTAATCCATCATAACCAAAAACAGATTAATGGTGGGGCCTGGGGGACCTGGGGACCTGTCAGGGGTTTGGGAGACAGGGAGGAGCAGGAGGAAGGGAGAGATGGACTGAGCAATTGGAAGTGATGGATGTATTATCATTATTGCGGGTATGGTTTATGGGTGTATACGTATGTCAAAACTTAATTGTATACTAAAAATATGCAGTTCATTGTATGTTAAATATAGCCAATAAAGCCACTTAAAGAAATCCCAGGCCAAGCACCCATACCAGTTAAATGATAATCTCTCATGTTGGATCCTAGGCATCAGTATCTTTTAAAATTTCCCAGGTGATCCAATATGCAGCCAAGTTTGAGAACTGTGCTATAAAACAGTGGTTCTCAAATAGTAGTTCACGGACCAGCAGCATCAGCATCACCTGGTAACTTGTTAGAAATGTAAGTTCTTAGGCCCCAGCCTGACCTACTTAATCATAAACTCCAGCACTGGGGTCCAGCAATTCATGTTTTAACAAGCCCTCCAGGTGCTTCTGATGCTCACTGCTATATAGAGGAAGACATACTCAAGAAGCCATCTGAAGACTCAGGAAAATGGGGATATTGGAATGGATTATTTATTAATGTATCTTACTCAGACGTCCCCTAACCATTACTCCCAAGAGGGCCTGGAGGACACTCCCTTCATCAAAGTATTGGTAACAGAGGCGTCATCTTTGAAGAGCTCTATGACAACTGTCCTTTGTGGGCTAGAGATGATGGTGAGAGATACTACCTAGGAATTAGGTCCCTTGATCTCAATGGGAATAGTGGAAGAAACCAGGTGGCAATGCTGAACTGTGTTAAATCAGGTGGGCACAATTACTGTAATAGCCCACAGCAAAGGATTGACAGTATTTTGACATGTGGGGATCTGTGATGATGGCTATTGATCCCCATCTGCTGAGCAGAAACCAAACTCAAGTCTCCATAGTGGACACTCACAGCCTCTTACCCAGTTTTCAGACTTAAATCAGGTTGTAGACCCGGAGACCCTTGACTGAAGGTGTATTGCTAGGGCAATTGTCGGAATCCTGCCGACGTAGCCAATTTTATGGTCGGGTTAGGGCCAACAAACCCTTCAAACCCATTGTACAGACTGGGTCACAGACCTCTTATATGCCAGACTGGGTCACGAGACCCTTCACATGTCTGGCTGGGTCACCAGACCCCTCACATACAAGTCCACAAGCTAGGTACTTGGGAAAGATCCTGGGAGCCATTGGCAGACGACATGAGCTCAGTCCTCAGCTTCCTCAGCAGCAGCAGCAGCTTACAGCAGCCTCCAGCAGCAGCGTTGGTGGCCTCCCAGAGAGTCCCG